CAAATAGACAAAACCAAAAAAGAAAATCCCCACAACATATTATATTTAAAACACTAACTATATAGAACAAAGAAAGTACAAGAGAGGGAAAAATCAAAACAAAACACAGGTGACGTATAAAGGGAAAGCCATCAGAATAACTGCTGGTTTCTCAGTGGACACTTGGGAAGCCAGAAGACCCAGGAGCAATGCATTCCAAGTCCTAAAAGATGATGTCAACCATCCTACGCTAATATCAAACTACTAACTATACTAATACCAATATTAACTACTTACTAATACTACCCAGAAAACCTGTCTGCCATAATTGAAAGAGGAACAAAATTTTTCCATGACATAAAAATCCTTTAAAAAATTATATCCAAGAAACTGAACCTAAGGAAAAGTACATGAAGCATTATTTTGGGCTGACAAGATAGATGAACATAACAGAGAGACTTTGGAAAGGAATATGAGACCGTAACTACTAAAATCCCAAATACAACTGAAAACACAAAAATTCAATAACATGATAACTACAACACACACTTCAGTAGTAACTTTAAATATCAAGGCTTCAATTTTTAAAATAAAATACAAAGATTGACTGAATGGATCAAGAAGCAAAATCCATCTCTCTGCTGCCCACAATTAACATACGATGGAGAAAAAGATAGCATGTGTAGAAGAATGAAATTAGACTGGGGTGGTGGTTTGAAAGAAAATGGTCCCTAAAGGGAGTGGCACTATTAGGAAGTAGCCTTGTTGGAGTAGGTGTGGCCTTGTTGGAGACAGTGTATCACTCTGAGGTCGAGTTTTGAGGTCTCATATATGTTCAAGTCACATCCAGTGTCTCAGATCACTTCCGGTTGCCTGCACAACATGCAGAACTCTCAGCTACTTCTCCAACACCATGTCTGCCTGCCTGCTGCTGTGTCCTGCTATGATAATGGACTGAACTGTAAGCGAGCCATTCCAATTAAATGTTTTCTTTATAAGAGTTGCAGTGGTCACAGTGTCTCTTCACAGTAATAGAAACCCTAACTAAGACAACTAGTATCTATAACTTTATACAAAAATTAATTCCAACTGGATCAAAGGCCTAAATATGAAACCTAAAATGCTACAACTGCTAAAAGAAAACATAGGCAGTGCCCTACATGACACAGGGGTAGTAAAGGGCTTCCTGAATAGGACTCCATTTGCCCAAGAACTAAGGCCAACAATTAACAAGTAGGACCTCATAAAACTAAACAGCTTCTAGGCAGTAAATGATACAATCAATTGGATGAAAAGAGAGGTCACAGAGTGGAAGAGAGTCTTTGACAGCACCATACATCTGACAGAGGGTTAGTATCCAGAACATACAAAGAACTTTTAAAAAATGACCTGTAGCTAGAGTTTTCCTGCCTTGCCCACAGTCAGGACAAATCTCTGTCACCCGCCAGTCCCACAGCCACTCAGACCCAACCAAGCAAACACAGAGACTTATATTGCTTACAAACTGTATGGCCGTGGCAGGCCTCCTGTTAACTGTTCCTATATCTTAAAGTAACGCATTTCTACAAATCTATACCTTGCCATGCGGCTCGTGGCTTACCAGCATCTTCACATGCTGCTTGTCCTGGCAGTGGCTGGCAGCGTCTCCTTCTGCCTTCCTGTTCTTTTATTTCTCCTCTCTGTTAGTCCCGCCTATACTTCCTGCCTAGCCACGACCAATCAGGTTTTATTTATTGACCAATCAGAGCAACTTGACATACAGACCATCCCCCAGCACAGCCAAGTGCAGACCATCTCAGACACCTGCACTCAGGCCCATGGTCCTAATCATCCTCTATGCAAACCTGCTGGGTAACGCCACAAGGAACCCAAGAAGGGCTCCCACAGGACATACATTAACATCCCACAGCAATGACCCATAGAATATACAATGAGCTTTTAAAAAATGACCCATGAAAAAATAGGTCTGGGACCTGAATAGAGGATTCTCAAAAGGAAAAAAAAAAAAAAGAATGGCTAAGAAACATCTCAAAAAAATGTTCATATACCTAGCATTTAGAGAAATGTAAACCAAAACAATTTTGAGATTTGATCTTATCCCAGTCAGAAAGGCAAAGATCAGTGCAACAACCAACAGCAAATGCTGAAGGGAATGCAGAGAAAAAGGGACCCACTCATTCAGTGTTGATGGGATTGCAAAATCAGGCAGCCACCATGGAAATCAGTGTGGAGAATTCTCCAAAAGCTAAAAATAAAACTACCATTTCTCTGCTATTCCACTCATTGGCATGTACCCAAAGGACATGGTATCTACTCCACAGGTAACAACTCAGCCATGTTCATTACTGGTCTAATCTCAACAGAGAGAAAATAGAGAAAACCAACAAATGGATAATGAAATCATGGCACATCTACACAATGAAATATTATTCAACTGTAATGAATAGTGAAATCATGAAATTGGAAGAAATAGATGGAACCAGAAAAGATCATATTGAATGAGGTAACCCAGACCTAGAAAAACCTTACATATTCTCTTTTATTGGCTGTTCCTAGCTCCAAATATTCAGATGTGAGTAACATAGCCTATAGCAACTACAGAAACCAGGAAAGTAAACAGGACCATTGCCAGGATGGGGGGCTGGGAAGTAACAGAGAGGGGATTAACAGGACACAAGTAATCTGATCAGGGAAATGGGAAAGGGGGGGATTCATTAAGGAAGGGGAAGAAGGTAAATACAGGAGAAAGAGGGAGGTAAAATAACAATATGGATGGCTGAAAAATCTACAAGGAATCATGCTATACTATAATCCAGTGTGTGTGTGTGTGTGTGTGTGTGTCTGTGTCTATGTGTGTGTGTGTGTGTGTGTGTGTATGCACACACACACACACACACACACACACACATATATATATATATATATATATATATATATATATATATATATAATTATATATATAAAATGAACTTTTTTCATCAGCGGATCCTCTAACAAAAAAAAAATCCCAACACTAGACATGAGAAGCCCTATTTGGAGTTGCTGGCTAAGACTGTCAAAGAAACGCCCAAAACATATAGCCTATTGCTGTTGCCTTTGGTTCCCTCCCAGAGGTAGAAGGTACGTCCTGATTAATGAAGATAATATGCAGTTCAGAAACAGTGCTCAGAGCCTCCTGAGATGGAACTGACCTGAAAGCCTCCTCCTTGGGGACTAGCTTTTATGGCAACAGAAAGGCAGCATCAAGTTTCCAAAGGAGGGAAGTAACCTACAGTCCTACCCAGCAATGAAGCATATGAACCAGGATGGCATTAAATCCCTATGTGTGCAGTAGTATATTTCTACCTGAATTACGTGCATTATAACAATAATCTATAAACATCTGCCTTTATACCCACAGGTAAGTGTAGTCTTGACCCCTCATCAAGGAAATTTCTCAATGCAATAGAAGGAGACCATTACAGTTGTAGAGGGTGGAAAGATGGCTCAAGGGGTTAAGAATGCTTACTTATGCTCTTACAGAGAACCCAAGCTGGATTCCCAGCACTGGGGTAGAGTGGCTCACAACTGCCTATGACTCCAGCTCTCAGGAATCTGATCGCCTTTTCTGGCCTCTGAGGGAAACTGCACTCCCGCACACACACTCCCCAAATAGTCACACACACACACACACACACACACACACACACACACACACACACATGCACATGTGTAATTTTTAAAATGTTTTTTTAAAATTCTAAGTCTCTATATAACAATATATAATACAGTTCAAGAAGCTCCACAGGACACTGCTATTTATGATACGTTGGGCCATATAAAGACAGAAAATCAGTTGACTTACCTGGCCACAGAATTAAAACTACTCAGCAGAAAACATGTTCACTCTCACAGTAGGAGTAAGGGCTAAACCAAGTCCCTACAAAACTCCTGTGTTGAAGCCCTAGGCCAGAGCACTAGGAGGTAGTTAAATTAAAGTGAGGCCTGTGGGGTGGGCTCAATTGAATCTGACAGATCCTTAAAAGGATGAGAAATCTGTGCATAGACAGAAACCAGGAGTGGACACACAGAGGAAAGATCCCGAAAGATGACAACCAGTGGGTTATGTTCCAACAGCCAAGGAGAGATTCAGAGGAAATCTATCTTGTTGGTACCTTGACCTTGACTATCATCATCCATAATTGGGAGAAATTAATTTTTATTGTTTAACAAGAAAATGTAGCATTTTCATAAGGAAGCTTGAACAGACTAAGCAATAATCCCTGGCCATGAAGCTCTAAAAGACCTCCTATGGAAGGTAAGCCCAATGTTTAACATCTGTAGCCAATCTCAAATCCAAGAATCTTAAGAATTTCATAGGTAAAACTTTTTACGAATATCCATCAAAAGTAATAAAATTGTTTTTTTTTTTCACAGTAAAAACTAATCTCCCAAGCAAAAGAAAGCAAACATTAGAATTGCTGGTAAATTTTGGTCCAGTAATGATTATTTATGCTTCTGGAGTTCAAACTATATTATGTATAGTTAATTCGTTCTTTTTATATTTACGTTCTTATAGTAACAGATTCCATTATATTTATTATATAATTATATTATTATATACTTATAATAAAACATAACGGATTATATTAATCCGATTTGTTTATATTTCCCTCTTAAATGACTACCAAGAAAATGACAAGTTAATCTGTATTAATCTATTTTCACATGAGATCTCCTACTACACCTATTTTCCCAAGAAGAATAAAAACAAAAATGGCCAGATCATAGATCATACAACATACCTCTTGGACAAGAACCCTCAAGTGGTTGTTTTTCCTACTCCCTAAGTCCAAATTATAGAATCTCTGGTTCCAAAAGTACAGAATTCAGTACTTCAGTCATATAAGATCCATACTGCATCCTGGCTTTCCTCCCTTAGCATTTCTCTAACAAAATCACAGAAGTTTTCCTAGTAAAACTGTTTTCCCCTTAGGAGGCAGATGCACAGTTGACTGTTGGACTCGGTTTGCTGTACTCACCAAGGAGGGAAGATGTAAATGATGTCCTGGGGATGCCCCCTCAGGTGGTCTGCAGTCTCTCTGGTAAAGAGAACCTTCAGGCAGGCCCCGAGTCCAGGAGCTCTTCCCCTGGGAGGGCTGGCTGGTGGCCCTGCCAGCTGCTCACACACTGCAACTTGCATGGTGCATTCCTCATGTAGCTCTAGAATCTTCACAGTTAATACACCAGATTTTCTGCCTACAAGTTGAAGACAGAAGGGGGTGGGGGGAGGACGACACATATTTAGAAGCGTTCTACACATTTTGTGAACAAAAATCTATACCTGCCTCAACTGCTCCTGTCAGAAACTGTGTACCAGTGTCAGAAAAGAAAACTAATACAGGGATGTTCGTGGACTTTGGGGTGTTTGGGGTATAGATTTAAAAGGGTAGAATTTGGCTGGCGGTGGTGGTGCACGCCTTTAATCCCAGCACTCAGGAGGCAGAGCCAGGTGGATCTCTGTGAGTTCGAGGCCAGCCTGGGCTATCAAGTGAGTTCCAGGAAAGTCGTAAAGCTACACAGAGAAACCCTGTCTTGAAAAACCAAAAAGGGTAGAATTTGATCTGGATTCCAGTAGTGCCTTTCTTATAGAATTGGCCAAATTACATAGATTTCAACTCCTCCATTTTCTCATCTATGAAACCGATCATGTCACCTGCTCCAGTGAACATCTGAGAGAATTAGAAGATAAACTAAGGCAAATCAATGCAATAATAATTATGGACTATGTACCAATGTAAAAGTGCCAAGAACTGGGAGTGTTATCTCAATTATAGAATATTTGCCTACCATGTGTGTGGTTCACCTCATAAGCTCAAGTGGCTGGAGTAGAGTGGACACACAAAATATTCCCAATAACAGTCAAAGTCTTTGCAGAGTTCTCATGTTGGGTGTGGTAGATGTCATCTGTAACCCTAGCTATTTGGGAGACTAAGTCGATAGAATCCCGAGTTAAAAGCTGATCTTGGTAACAACAAAAAGGGAAGGGGAAGGAGGGGAGCTTAGCTGGAAGGAAGTGAAAACACAGTAGAGGGCACAAAAAAGACACAGAGGGTGATGTCTCTGAGGAGGGACAAAGAAGGCTGTGACTCAGAGGAAAGTGGGGGAATTTCAAATCTTCACAATTAAACACACATCAAGGCATAAAGGCAAAGATTAACATGTGTTATTGGTAATGTTATATTTTATCTTTTTATATTACTGTTTAATTTTTAAAATAAAAAATTAGTTAAGTGGGATAATGAAAATAGACCTGCAAATAACATTCAGTATTAGTCTCTCAACCACTGTAGATTAACAGCAAAAAGACCAAAAGCCAAGTTCTAAGTTAAATAGTTTCATTTCCGTTTCCCCTTCTTCCTCTCTCACTTTTGCTTCATTCATTTGTTTTCTTGGTCTCAATCTTCCCATCCCTTCTACTGGCTAAGTGCTGCAGTATAGGTTTCCACACTGAGCAGCCCCACCAACTGGTCAGGGCACTGTTCAGGATGACTGCTTCTCACAGTTTGTACCTGTCTCACTTGAGGACAGGAGGGAAACAGTTAGGGAAGGACATGAGCATGTGCAATGTCAAGCTGCTCCTGGTCATAGTGTGAGAAAAAATGGAGGTCAAAAGACAAACTTCTAAGATAAGCACTGACTAAAGAGTAAGCATATTGACTCTGGCACAGCACATGCATCTTTAATGAAAAGTAGGCGTTTTTCAATGGTGAACATAAAAAGAAGTTTGGATCAATGAAAGTCATTTTAGTTTAGATATTTCTCAAGGGCAAGGCAGCCAAACAGTGGCTAGAAAATCAGGGTTTTTAGAAACAAAAGGAAAACTGGTATATGTACAGAATACAGTGGCCAAAGGTGTATTTTTGGACCTATTTTCAAAGGTGTTAAAAACTTGTGCTTGTATTAGGGGGTTTATATTAAACACTGCAAAACTACCATCTGACCTATATCTTGCTGACAGAAGGCACTATCCAGGGCTTCATGACCAGCTAATTTATTGAGCACTGGTCACCCAGCTCAAGTCCAGGTAGTCAGCTGCACAGGTTCCTGGTCTTGTAGCTACAATATCTGCTCCACATCACACTAGACATGCAGAACTACCTATCAGGAGCAGAAAGTAACAGACACTCAGGGGTTACTTTAGAGCATACAGACATCCTGAGAGCTCATAAAGGGAAAATAATTATAAAAATACACAAGTAGCTGGGCAGTGGTGGCACACACCTTTAATCCCAGCACTCAGGAGGCAGAGCCAGGCGGATCTCTGTGAGTTCGAGGCCAGCCTGGTCTTACAGAGTGAGTTCCAGGAAAGGTGCAAAGCTACACAGAGAAACCCTGTCTCGGGGAAAAAAAAAAACCCAAAAAACAAAAAAACAAAACCACAAGTAGTAGAGCACATTCCATCATTAAAATGTACATTAAAAACACAGGATGGCCCACACTGTTATCAACTGTTCATTTCTGGAAGACTGTTATAAGAAGTACTAACAATATTCCAAACAAGATAGTTTCTCAATATCCACAGCACCAAATACCATAGGGGATAAACAAGTTATTTTATGTTAACTATTATCATGCCCTGAACACCACAGTTTCCTTGGTGACTAAACAGGTTTATGACACTGTGATAGGTATCAGCACTGGTGATTACAGCTGTAGGGAAGGGACAGCATAGTCTTGTCTTCTGGGCAGGAGTTCTAGGGGAAACAGATAAAGAATGCCTCTGTAGAATAAAATAAAGCAGTCTCAATTCCACTTACCTGAGAGAGAAAAAGATGATGGGATAAGGTCTGTCAAGTTATGTGGTGGAGGCAAGCTCCTAATTTGAGCCCAAGAATATGAGTACCAGAAACACTCATTTTACAAAAAATACTGTTTTGCAGTTTGATGAATGGTTCAAAAAAGGTCACTTCTATGCTGCTAGGGCAATATTTTCCATAAATGTTGGAGCACTTAACCAAAATATCACATCATCCATGAAATAGTTTGAGTAACTGCCAGAAACAATTACTTAGGGACTTTCTCAAAAGCAATACTAGGAAGATTTTTAAGAGCCATAGGCTGCCGGGCGATGGTGGCACACGCCTTTAATCTCAGCACTCGGGAGCCAGGCGGATCTCTGTGAGTTCGAGGCCAGCCTGGACTACCAAGTGAGTTTCAGGAAAAGGTGCAAAGCTACACAGAGAAACCCTGTCTCTTAAAACTAAAGGAAAAAAAAAAAGAGCCATAGGCTAAAGACAAAACTGTTTTTTCAATATGACAAGATTACTGTACTCATGAACTCAGCAGCTCTAGTTAGGTGCACAAGATCTGCACGAAGTTAAGCTAGTCAGCACTGTAGCATGGAGTGAGACTGAATTTTGAGCCTGAACCTGTAAATGAGAACTATGGACAGCTGAATGGCTTCTAGGGGAGGGGAGTTAGTCTTCTCTGAGGATATGGCTCCTGTAGGCTGACTGTGCTCCAGTGAATGGCACCGCCACCGGGAGTATATTTATAGGCAGCACAAACTGGAGTCATGGACTACTGCAAAACAGCAACAACAACAAAAAACACAACATGAACTTTGGGGGGGGGATAAGGAGGTGGGGGTTAACCTGAGAGGGGTTAGGAGAAGAAGCTGAGGGTGAATATGATCCAAATATACTGTGTGAAAATTTTAAAGTATAAAGAAAAACATTTTTAATCCTGAAATTAAAAAATACCCTAATACCTTATTTGTATTTGGCTACTGATAAAAGCCTCTCTAACAATATAATATTAGCTACCTCTGAGAGCACTGAGAATCAGCAGGAACACAGTAAATACATGGTACACTGCCTAGTCCAGCACGTGTGCAACATTATAGCATCAGCCTTTCAAAGCATTTTCAAATCAGTGCTTTTTTTTCAAGACTGAGTATTTCTGTGTAACAGCTCTAGCAGTCCTGGAACTCACTCTGTAGACCAGGCTAGTCTCAAATTCACAGAGATCTGTCTGTCTCTGCCTCCCAAGTGCTGGGATTAAAGGCATGTACCACCACCACCGCCTGGCTCGTCTGTTTTCTTATCCAATCTATAAGAACTACAAAACACAGGCTAGAAGAAACAGAACCTCTGTAAAGTTGCTACCTAAAGTAAAGCTGGGATATCAAAAAATATGACTGCCTAGGGGCTGTAATAAAATTACAGAAATAATCAAGGAATTAGAAAAAAAAAAGGCTATATTATCAAAATGCCAGGCAGGATGCACCTATGGGTAAAATAATGTCATGATTACTATGAGTACGACAATCAGCTTTCTGACTGAATTTTAGGCCTATTCCACAGGAAGAACTCCTACCCAGTACTTACGCCAGGGTGAAAGGCTCTGAATGGGGAGGGGTCATAGGACCCCAGTAGAGAAGGAACTGCTGTTGTTTTGTTGAATGAATGCAATGTGCATCAAGTTGTTTCTAAATATTTGTGTTTGCACCCAAAGAATTATTAATGGACAAAACCTTCCTTATATAGATTAGGTATATTTGAGACATGCATAAACCATTGGTGAAGCTCCTGAGAACAAGTGATGTTGCTGTGGCACAGAAGCCCAATGCTTAGTAACTGATAGGGATCTCTCTCACTCCCTCCAATGCTTTGATTGTTATAGAAGAGGAGATAGAAAGAATCTAAGAGCTAGAGAAAGAGATGGAATACTGTGTAGCAATTTATTCTTGAGGGGAACAGGAAAGCTCATGTGGCTCCAGTAGGAAGAAGTAATAAGCAACCTTCAAATATCAGGAAGTACATGAAACTAACAAAATTCACAAGGTCACTCTCAAACATTATAAAAGTAGTAAATAATTCCCGGGAGAGAGTTGTCTCCAGGAGACTCTCTGACCTGGCATGCACCTCCAGCACTGCAGCTTCCATTAGTTGTCACTCAGCTGTGGTGGGCTTTTGGTGACGAAGTTACTGTAGTTATCCATGCTCCTGTAAGCTACCCAGCACCCATACTCCTGTAAATAACCCCAATAAACTCACTAGTTTGCTAAGTCAGACTCTGACAGAATCCTTACTTTGGTCTGCCATTGTTTCCCTACCTGGGGTGAATAGGAATTTGTTTGCCTTTCCCCAGAAAAAGCTCACAGAATATTTTATTAGTTAACTGAGATGGAAAAGGGGGGGGGGGGTTGGTTTTAGATGGTCAAGAGGACACGAAAACCATAAAAAGAGATGAAA